GCGGTCCCAGGAGGGCTCAGGCCTTCGGGTCTGCCCACACCTAGGACTCTGAAGTCCCAGAGCCCCGGTGCCCTCCCTGCAGGCACAGAGACCTCCTCCCCCCCGTCCTGCCTACGCTGGGAAACCCGACCCTCCCTCCCGGCTCTGGTTTCCCGAAAACTCCTGACTTGCAGATACTAAGAATGGCTTTCTAGACCCTGTCTCTCCCCGCCCCTGCGCGGCCGAGTCCTGGCGCGCCGCCCTCACCCACTTTAGACCTCCAGTCGCCTCCTCTCCCTCCGAGGACCCAGGCGTCCCGGCCCTCATCCTTTCTCCAGGACCCGAGTCCGGGCCCGGTTTCTTCTGCCCCCAGACTCAGGACTCCCAGCCCGGCCCCCTCCTCCCCGAGACCCTGGCGTCCCCGCCCCCGCCACCTCCGCTCAGACCCCGGCGTCCGAGCCCCCCGCCCTTCCTCCCTGGGGGCCTGGCGTCCAGCCACCTCTCTCTGTCCAGCTGTTATTTCTCGCCCTTTAGAGCACGCGGGTGGAATGTGGGGCGGCCCATCTGCCGATGCCTCCCTAGGCCTTCTGGGAGTCTCCGGACTCCTTAAAGGGCTCCCCCTGGGGGCGCACCTGGCCTCCCTAGGGCCTAGCGGGACACAGGTGCGGTCAGAGGAGTAGGAGGAGGCCCGCCGACATGCCTGAGGCAAAACCAGGTGGCTGCCAGAACCCCTTCCCTCTGTGGTCTTTTTTTCTGAATGAGGTTTTGGGACTCCCCTCCTTGTGGGGTTGGGAGAATGGGGTGCCTTCTCTGTGTGAAGAGGCGCTCCCTTCCCTGCATGGGGGGAGCGGTCCCCTTCCCTTTGTAAGGAGAGGTGTTGCCTTCCTTGGGTGGGATGGGGGGTTCCATATCTGTGTCGGGTGGGGGGGACCCCTTCCTTCCGCAGTGAGGGGGTTCCTTTCTCTGTAGGCGATTGGGAGGCCCATCTCTGGTGGAGATGATGATTCTCTGTAAATTGGGGTCCCTTTTTCTCGATGGGGATGGGGGTCCTGTGTGTGTAGATTTGGGAGTGTTTGCAGGGTGACTGAGGTCCTCGACATTTTGGGGTGGCATCTTCTGCGTAAGGACTGGGCCCCTTCTCTGAGAGAAGATTGGGGCCTTTTCTGTAGGATGGGGGTGATTGTATAAAGATTAGGGGTTCCCACCTGCGTCAAGTCACAGGAAATTAGTCTCTGTATAAGGATGGGGGAACCTCCCTTCTTTGGGAATTGGGCTCTCATGCGTAGGAAGTAGGGGGCCTTCTTCATAGAGGGTTCGGGGTCTTTTGTGTAGAGTTTGGGGGTCATTTGACTGGGCCTGGAGGGCACTCTGTAGGGGGATGGGCTTCCTCTTGATGAAAAAGTCAGCATGGGAGACACAAGCCCCTGGGAGGGAACCCCCTCCTGGTCCATCCTGTCTGCCAGCCTCAGCCCAACCAGGCTGTGGGTGGGGGTCCAGCCCCATCTGTAGCTGGGGGCCTAGCGGGCCAGGAGCCAGCAGGCAGGGCAGGTGAAGGATCTTGTGGTCAGCACGAGGTGTCCAGTTTCCAGCCCAGAGGTAGAGCTAATTATACCCCCAGGCCCCAGAAGGTCAGGGCCTGGTGGCCTGGATGGATGGGGCATGGCCGGCCTGGGGTAAGGGAAACCTGATCCCAAAGAGTCTCAGGGTGAGAGATAGATTTACACATAGGATAGGGGCCCGGACTCCTGGGTCTGAGGGAGGAGGTTGGGGGCCCGGACCCCTGGGTCTGAGGGAGGAGGGAGCTGAGCACATGCTCAACTGTGAACTTCTACTTTGCAGAGGCCAAAAAGGCCCCCAAAGGGGCTTCCCCTAAGGAGGCTCCTGCAGAGGCCCCCAAAGGTGAGATGGTGTTTCCTCGGGCTCAACCGGCCTGGCATCTTACCTCCCCCATGATCCCCTCTGCACCCTCGCCCCAGCCTTCTCCTGGTCTCCATCCTTTAATCTGTCCCCACGGCCAGAGCTGACTGGCACCTGCCCTGCTCACAGCCGCCTGGGCTTCCTGGCACCCTGGACAGAGCCTCCTGTCACCTGCTGACGGATCCCCGAGTCCTGTCCAGCTTTGAACGCCCCAGTCTATCTTCAAACCTCTCCTATCTCAAGGCCCATTCAGGACCCTCCAGTCTACGGATGGGGAAACTGAGGCTCAAAAGGGTGGGGGAGCTGGCCAAGGTCACGTAGCCACTTGGGTGACGTGGTCTTTCCCAAGTCAGGAGAAGCCATTTCACCCTCATGGCCTTTGCTTTCTGAGCAGAGGCTGCCTCAGTGTCTCTAACCCCTCCTCCGAGTGGCCCACCGCCCCTCCCCCGCCTCAGACCGCCTCGTCCTGTCTCCTGAGCAGAAGCCCCACCTGAGGACCAGTCGCCCACTGCGGAGGAGCCCACTGGCATTTTCCTGAAGAAGCCGGACTCCGTATCGGTGGAGACCAGTGAGCGGGCCTGAGGGAAGGGCTGGGGGCCCTGGACTCCCGGGTCTGAGGGAGGAGGGGCTGGGCTGTCACAACCTCATGGCCTCTCTGGGGAGTCTAGGCTCCTGACTGGACTCTCCCTCCCCGCCTCCTGTCCAGGCAAGGACACGGTGATCGTGGCCAAGGTGAACGGGAAGGAGCTCCAGGGCCCGCCGACCATCAGGTGGTTCAAGGGCAAGTGGCTGGAGCTGGGCAGCAAGAGCGGCACGCGATTCTCCTTCAAGGAGTCCCACGACTCTGCCAGCAATGTGAGGACGCTGTGGGATGAGAGGCACGGGCCGGGGCTGGAGGTGGTGCAGGCCCTGCTTCTCAGAAGGCCTGGAGCCCCCGCGGTGGGGCATGGAGGTCGTGCTGGGCAGGAGGGATGCTGGGGCCGGGGCCACACGCACTCCCAGGAGGGTCTTAGGGAGTCGGGAACATGGGCCCCCGGGGTGGAGACTGGCCAGGCGTGAGGGGCACAGAACTGGCCACCAGGTGCTGAGCAGCCCTGTTCTGGATCTCCACTGCCCCCTCCTGCGGGTCGGGGGTGAGCACTTGGAGCCAGAGTTACGATGTGGGCTCTGGGGGACGTGGGGTGGCACTGGGGGGTGGTCACCTGCACCCACACCCCGGCCCCGGCCCCCAGGTGTACACCGTGGAGCTGCACATTGGGAAGGTGGTTCTGGGGGACCGCGGGGATTACCGCCTCGAGGTCAAAACCAAGGAAGCCTGCCACAGCTGCGGTTTCAACATCGATGTGGAGGGTGCGCTGGCAGGGGGTGGGGGGCCGAGGGGTATGGGTCGGGGTGGGGGACGGAGCCAGCAGCCAGGTGTAGGGAGAGGTGGAGATGTGGGGGGAGGCGGGTACGGGTATTAGGAGGAGGCCGTGAAGGTTTGGGGTCAGGGCATTTGAGACTGGGGAGACAACCTACAGATTTAGAGTAGGCCCCCAAATCTATATGTTCAGGGTCTTGGGGTGTGCACGCGAAGGCTTACGAGGCGAGTTATGTAGATTCCGTGTTCGAGAAGGCAGGAGTAAAGGCTAAGAGAATTAGGGTGTCCAGGTCTAGAGTATAAGAGTGTGCGGGTTTAGATGAGGACGTGCAGGATTAACAGGAAGTTGCACAGATTTGGGGGCACGTGGATGGGGGCCTGAGGCTGAACGGGCTGTGGGGTTCTGTAGCCCAAGCTGTGAGAGGACACAGGGCACGAGACTGCCCAGGCCCGGGTGCGGGGGGCACAGGCTGCTGAGAGCGGGTGTGTGTGGCAGCCAGGGAAGTGTGAGCCGCCCTAGGATGTCCAGGCCTAAGCGAGGGGGTGTGCTGCTCCAAGAGGTGGAGGAAAAGGGGCCTGGAAGAGGTCGTGCAGGCCTGGGGAGGAGCTCTTGGTCTTAGGTCAGCCCTTGCTCCGCCTCACTTTTCCTTTGCCCTTCGCCTCCCCCAGCCCCCCGCCAGGACGCCTCTGGGCAGAGTCTAGAAAGCTTCAAGCGTTCGTAAGTGACCCTGGACCTGGGGTGGGGGGCCAAGGACTGTGGGAGGCTCTCCCTTGAGAGGGGGGAAGGGAGGATTGGGGGAGGCAAGGAGTGGGGACCCCTGGGGTGAGTCTGAGGGGACAGGACCCCAGTGGGGTTCATATGCCCTCTTGATGGCCACAGGGGTGAAGGGAAGTCAGAGAAGATGGGCGAGCTGGATTTCAGCGGCCTCTTGAAGAAGAGGTGAGCCACCCCCCACCGGGCACAGAGAGTGGAGGGGGGTGGTGGGTGAAGCCCCACGGTCGCTGCTTCCCCACCGTCATCTCTGGACTCCCTGCCCACCCAGTAGTCAGCCCACCATCCCATCTGGCTACCTGTC